GGTTGTGAGCCACCATGTGGTTGCTGGGAATTGAACTCATGATCTCTGGGAGGTCAGCCACTGCTCTTAACTGCTGAGCCATGTTTCCAGCCCCTAGTCCTCTCCACCCCACCTCCATTGTTAACGCTCTAAAACCTCCTGTATCAGTGCCAAAGACTGGGAACCGCACCTTCAGATCATAAGCCTTTTGCAGAGTTTCTAGATCTAAGCCACGGCCCCATTTTTATTTATCTGTGGAAAAGAGCCTTCCTCTTCAGCTTCTAAGAATCTCTGACATACATGTTATTTTTGAATGGTTTATAATCTAATGTATTTATAATCTAATGGGCATGTATTGCATCTTAAGCACTATGTGCTGGATGCTATACTAGGCCTTTGGGTTTTAAATGCTAGAAGAAAAATGGTGTGCTCCTTGGTCTGTTTATGCAGAATAAAGTTTGGAGAGAAGGTACGTGGATAAACTGAAATTGACAATTATATGCAAGGCTGATCTCTCTTGTTTTTATTTTTATTTTGTTTTGTTTTCTAAAGTTATGTGTATATGTGTATTTTTGTGTGTGGGTATGCTTGTGGGTCACCAGTGGATATAGATCAAAGGCAATGTTTCCTCCTTCCTCTGACCCCATCAGTATCAAATAGTTGAACAGTGAGGGTATGGCCCCCTGAGTCTCTTCTCAGTCCATGCTAGGGTATTGCCAGCATGGATTACAATAATAAGTTACATTTATTTGTGTGTGTGTGTGTGTGTGTCAGCACATAATGAGGCCAGAGGACAACTTGCAGGAGTTGTTTCTCTGCTTCTTCCATAGTTGATTCCAGAGAATGAGCTCAGGCCCTCAGGTTTGTGCTCTTACCTACTGAGCCATTTTATTGCCCTGCAGGTCCATTCTTGTGCACATTCAGTGCAGATGTTTGCAGCAGGTCTGAGTTTGTGATTACTGGCTGCTTATCTTGCCCATAAGATGGCATTTTGCTGCCTTTCTCCCTGTCTTCTGGCTGTTGTGTTCTTTCCACCCACTCATCTGCTATATTCCCTGGGCCTTAGAGGGAATGGTATGAATGAATGTCTTGTGTAGGATTCACTCGTCACTTGTCACTTGTTCTCAGCACTTCGTCAGTCATGAGTCTGTGCATTCACCACTGCTTCATTGTGAATGCGTCTACATTTCTATTCTCAGGCATCAGTTGATGGACACGTAGGCTGGTTCCAGTGGCGTGGTCAGTACAAAATCCTGGGCTGAGAAGTGTATGTCATGTTGCTCAGAGACAGGTGTTTGATTTCTGTATTCATTGTGAGTGTCACTAGCAGTAGGGGACAGACATCACTACACTCTTGGGGAGAACTGCCTGTGATGATGATGGCTTCCCCACAGTGCTATTAAGGCAGTGTTACTGGCTGGTTTACACAGTGACATGTAGAAAGCAGAGGTCCTGCCAAATGATGTTAAATGACAGTGTGTCAAGGCCAAAGCCTTGTGAAGCTTTTATCATCTGAGAGAATAAGAGCTGTAAAATTACTTTATGCCCCAAAGGCTCTGTGATTTTTCTAAGTGTGTAGTAGAGTATCATGTTGACAAGCATGTGGTTTTTCTTTTTGGACCTTAATGAGAAAATATTTTAAAATGTTTTATTGAAAGATTGTTATTTAAAGCGCACAAGGGCTTAGGGTGCACAGGGACCCTGGGTACAGTGCTGTGAAGTTTTGGTAGATGTGATGAAATTAAAATTAAATTGTGTCAGCTTTTTAAAAATTGCCTTAACCTAAGCAATGGTTTCCTTGTTTGTCCTATTCACTGTATGATTTCTCATCAATTCTGTATGATGTTACCAAAACTTCTGGCACTTGTTTTTTTTAAAAACTTTTAAAAAATTACTCTGTGTGTGTGTGTGTGTGTGTGTGTGTGTGTGTGTGTGTGTGTGTGTGTGTGTGTGTGTGTGTGTGTGCATGGATGTGTTTGGAGGTCAGAGGACAGCTTGGGGAATCAGTTCTCTCCCTTCACTATGAGGGTTCCTAGAGCTTGAACTCACGTTGCCAGGCTTGGCACAGGTGACTTTACCCCCACTGAGCTGTCTCACCTGTCATCTTTCTTGTGTGTTAGGAACACTAACCATGTTAGTTCCTGTTGTCTCTTTTGTTTTATTTTATACAGTGTAGCTTCAGTTGTCCTAGGGTTTGGCTGGTGTGTGTGTGTGTGTGTGTGTGTGTGTGTGTGTGTGTGTCCAAGCCTTGTTCTGGGACATGGTAGCCCTTATGAAGCCAGGACACCACTTCAAGTCAGAGAGTAACCATCTGTCTTTTCAGAGGCCTTTGCTGTTTGTACTATTTGTATGGCTGCTCCAGAACAAGGTTAGTGTAGTTCATACCCCATTTCTCAGGATCTGGTTAGCTCTGCAGCACTGCACTGTCCCACCAAACCCAGCGGAAGGCCTTGCTTCCTCTCGATATAGCTGTTTCTCCTTTTTGGGGTCTCCTTATCTCTGGATGCCCAGCTGGCGCTGTGCTTGTGGTAGATGTGAAGCACATCCCATGCTATCCCAGCAGAGGGCAGCAGTGGCCAGCTGTGAGTCTCTCCTATGTCCATTCTTATTGTTAACACCAACCTTTAGCCACTTCCACTTTTGCCCTCTTATCTGCTGAGCCATTTTATTGCCCAGCAGGTCCATCCTTGCAGATTCAGTACAGGCATTTGCAGCAGGTCTGAGTTTGTGATTACTGGCTGCTGTATCTTTTGCCGGCTGTCTCCCTGTCTTCTGGTTGTTGTGTTCTTTCTACTCTCTCGTCTGCTATGTTCCCTAGGCCTTAGAGGGAATGGTATGAATGAATGTCTTGTATAGGATTCACTTATTCTCAGCATTTCGTCAGTCATGAGTCTCTGCCATGTACATTTTTTTTCTATTGAGATGAGAGCTCATGTAGCCCAGGCTGGCTTCAAACACATGATCCTCCTACTTCAGCTGCAATAGCATTATAGGTGTGCCAAACTGTGTGCAGCTCAGGTAACTTTTAATCTAATTTTATAGACTGCCCCCCCCCCTTTTTGGAGGGTGTGTGTGAAATGGAAGTGGAGTTGTTAATTTAAGAGCCTCATAAAAAGCCAGACATTTGTAAAAACTTTGATTAGGTAGAGTACGTTTGTATGACAAGTAATCTAGTTGGATTTCCAGAGGTGTGGGTTGGAAGTAAGGCAACTTTGTTTGTTTGGAAACAGCTTTGGGATGTGAGATCAGCGAATGAGAAGAAAAGCATTAATGTGAAACGCTTCTTCCTGAGTTCAGAAGACCCTCAAGAGGATGTGGAAGTGATAGTGAAATGTTGTTCCTGGTCCGCAAATGGTACTGAAATAATAGTGGCAGCAAAAAACAAAATCCTCGTAAGTCATACTATCTTAATTCGCTCTGGTGTAAAGTTCCAAGTTCTGTTAGAGTTTTCACTTTCTAGTTTCCCGCTGTGATTTGGGGCAGGCTTCCGAACTGCTCGTAATTCTTTGGAGCCCTGCTTTCTGGGGATATGAAAGGCCAGAAATACTTTTTACTTTCCCAAGAAATACACTGAAACAACATATTAAAGCCAAACACTACAAGAACAGTTTGTAATGTCAAGTCAGTCTTTCTTCCTTCCAGTATATTATTTCTTACTTTTATTTTATGTGTGTGGGAGCTTGGCTACATGTGTTTTTGTAACATGTTTGTGCAATGCCTATGAAGGCCACAAGAGGATGCTGAATCCCCTGGAACTGTTTTAGATGCTTTTCAGCTGCCATGTGGGTGCTTGGAATTGAACCAAGGTCTTTTGGAAGAGTAGCCATTGCTCCATTGCTTTTCACTGCTGAGCCATTTTTTTCTAGCCCCACTTCAATTTATTTGAAACAGGATATTTTCTTCATCATTTAAAAAAAAATTAAGAAACCCACTATTGTTAGGACTCTTAGCTGGGGTCATCTTTGTAGATTTCTTACTCCAGGTTTTTGCCTGTCCCCACAAATGGGCCCCCTTTCCAGTAGTCTCTTTCAGTGCTCCCTGTCCCCAATCTGATCACTCATGTTCCCATCCCCACCCACCCTCAGTATACTCAAGAAATCTCTTCTATTTCCCCTTCCCAAGAAGATCTGGGTGTCCCCCCATGAACCCTCCTTGTAGCTTGGTCCTCTTGTGGGACTCTTAATAGTGGGAACAGTGGCTGTTTCCAGTTTTTTACCAGCTTTTGGGACCCTACTTCTTATGCTGGTCCTCTTGCCCAGCCTTAATACAAGGGGAGGTCTTTAGTCTTCTTATATGCCATGTTTTGTTGATACCCATGGGAGACCTGCTGAAGCCAGAGGCATTGGGTTCCCTGAAGGAACCAGACTTGTGTCCTTTTGAAGGACAGCGAGTGCTCTTAATTACTGAGCCATCTCTCCAGCTTCTTAGAGTTTTTGTTTGTTTTTTATCTCTTTTGCAACTTGATGAGTCAGAGGAGAGAAATACTCCTTAGAACTGAATAAGACAGATTTTCATAAAGATACACAAAAAAGTAAATGGCAAGAAAGTGCCTTTCTTTTTTCAGATCTCATGCTAGCATCATGTTCTGAGTACTCATCAACATACATAACTTAAAATGTAAATACCTAAGAGATGTTGTAGATTGCTGTGGTGCTGTGGTGATAATGAGGGAACCAGGCTCCGAGTGGCCACAATGGTTTGTCCAAAGTTGGATTGTGAGGATGGTCAAGTCTTCCATGTATGGCTCATGGATATTCTGTCCTAATATTAATTTTAGAAGACATGACTGGTAGGTGTTACTGCTTTAGGCAATGTAAGCCAATACTGTGATACATTTCTGTATTAACTCACTGGGAAACTGGGTGCTTGTTTATTCATCTAGCAATTGTGAACCTGGGTCCTTGATTGCCTGTGGATTTATATCTCTCTAGCAGGAAACCAAAGGAGAACAATATTTCCTTTTTTGTCTTAAGTGTGTTAAAAATCTTAAAAACAGAAAGTGGTCATTGCATTTGTAAAATTTGATGATTGAAAATTTTATTTTTGTTGTGATAAAAATACATAATGTAAAATTTGCCATTTTAAACTTTTTTTTTTCTGATAAGTAGGATGTGAATTTACGGGTCTTGAGGATATAGGGAAGTACTTCATCACTGAGCTACAACTTCAGCTCTTTCTCATTTTTATTTTTAGATGGCATCTTGCTAAGTTGCACAGACTGGCCTTGAAAACACTAGTATAGCCTAGGCTTGCCCCAAACTTGTAATCTTGCTTCAGCCTCCTGAATAACTGAAATTAAAGGTGCTTCCAAACCATTTTTAATTTATGACATCATTGATGTTATAATTATATTCATAATGTAGTGCAGCCATTACCACTGTACCCACCTTTCTTCCTCTCCTCCTCCTCCTCCTCCTCCTCCTCCTCCTCCTCCTCCTCCTCCTCCTTCTTCTTCTTTTTTTGTTATAGAATTTCTCTGTGCAGGCCTAGCTGTCCTAGAACTCATTCTGTAGACCAGGCTGGCCTCAAACTCAGAGATTCGTCTGCTTCTGCCTCCCCAGTGCTGGGATTAAATGTTTGTGCCACCACTGCCCAGCCACCACTGTATGTTTCTAAAGGTTTTCATCACTCAAACAGAAACTCCATTACCATTAATTAGCTAATAATTCTCCATTCTCTGTCCCCACTCCCTGGTGACTAATAACACAACACATGAATTCATTTGTTCTGGAAATTGTGCAAGTAGAATTATATAATACTTGGTCTATTTATGCTTGACTTATTTCATTGAGCACAATGTTTTTTTTTAATAATTCATTTATTTTGATTTCATGTGCATTTATGTATGTCTGTGTAAAGTTGTCAGCTCACCTGGAACTGGAGTTACAGACAGTTGTGAACTGCCATGTGGGTGCTGGGAATTGAACCCTGGTCCTCTCGTAGCCAGTGCTCTTAACCACTGAGCCATCTCTCCAGTCCCTGTTTGTTTTTATTGTAATTTTTTTTTACTAGTTCAAATTAGGAACAAGCTTGCTTCACATGTCAATCCCTTCTCCCTCTTATGTACTCACTCATATATGAATTTTAGACATTGAGCACAATGTTTTTAAAGCTTATTTGTGTTACAGAATGTGTCAGAACCAAACAGTTTCTCTCTCCCTCTCTCTCTTGGAGAACAAGTATCTGTTTGGGACCCTACTTTTAATAACATTTTATACAGTCCAAATAGTGGAATTGCTCAATCACAGTGGTAATCTCGTGTTTCTGTTTTTGAGGAGGGAGACTTTCCCACAGTGGCTGCATCGTTTACATTTCTGCTAGCAGTCTGCAAGGTTGTTAACTTCTCCACATCTTCAGTAACACCTGCTGCTGTTTTTCCATTTAAAATTTTATTTATTTTCCATTAAAAATTTAGAGCCACTCAAGTAGGTGTGAGGTGGTAGCTTGATTTACATTTTCTAGCTAACCAGTGATGTTAAAGAAAAAAAGCTTTTCTCTCATCCCTTGGCTGATGCTGGAAATTGAACCCAGTGCTAGGCAAGCCCCCTACCACTTTAAAGTGTTTAGAAGATCTGTTCTAGTGTGGAAGGAAAAAGATATATATTGTGTAAAACACCTATTTTAAAGCCCTATTAACCAGATCCCTATTTACCATGCTAGAATAGTTCCCTTAGGGTTGCCTGTACCTGTTCATTTTTCACCCTTGTATTCTCCTGTCTCCATTTCTTCCAGATTCTTGTATTGTTAGTCTACTCCTGTTGTCAGTCCTTTTGTCTTTTGTCATTCCCCAGTTGGGACAATTTTCTATCACACATTTGCCATTTCCCCCTGTTATTCTTAGTCACTAATTTTTAAGAACAACCTGCTCGGGGAAACATTTAAATAAGATTTCCTGTCCTTTGTTTTTGGCCTTTCCTGGTGTGCTACTTGGCATCTACATGTGTCCTTGTGCTGTGCATTGACTAGGCCTCTTTCTGGCTCCCACTGGAAACTTGTTTTCTTCCTGAGGACTGTCTGTCTCGGTCTTAACTGACTAGACTGTGTCAACATACTGTATGTGTGGATGAAGTATGCATACTCTTACCATTTGGCAAAACCTTTGGAAGAATAAATTCAGCATATGAAAATCTTTCAAGAATTGAAATGAAGGTTGTTACTACTTTTTGGTTCAAAAATGAGAAAATGATTAATTGTAATGGAATAATTTGGAGATCTGGAAGAAATTGATTGAAGTTATTTCATTTTTGCAGGCCTTTGCTCTATATTATTTTGACCGTCTTTGCTCATGGGCATACATTTTCTCTCTTGAATCAGTAGCATCAGGGAGAGCTGCTTAATGTGCTAACTTGACTGGTCTGTTCATACATTCACAAAGGGTTTGTTTTTCTCTAGGCCAGTTTGAGAGATTATCTGTGATGAGTTTTCCTCTAGAGAAGGTAGCTTTCAAGATGAGCCATATTTTAAAATTATATGATATATATATTTTATATATATCAATCTGTGTCTTATTTATAGTTATCAGCATTTATGCCAGTCATCAGTAACTATAAGTCTTCAGAACTTATATTTTACATTTGAGATATGATGAACATCTTTTAAAAATAGATTTAGATTCAGCGTGGGTATAATTTTTTTTTAAACTTTTAATTATGGAAACAAAAATATACCTAAAATCAAAGCTTCTGGGAAAACCATTTGTTCTTCCCTGTCTTGTATCTTTCCTCAAACTTGACCTTGGCTTCCCACCTGGCCTTGTGTTTCAGGGCTGGGTCTCTGAAGACATCCTTGTTGACAACAGTTTTGTCCAAGGGGATGTCTACAGAGTACCATGTGGGCATGAGGTGATTGTAGTTGTAAACTTTCACAAAAGACTTGATTTTTGATCGCTTGGCAATTTTCTTCTTGCCCATGGCAGCTGTCACTTTTCAGTGATAACGGTCAATTCCAGCCACCAGGGCATGGCTGTAAGGGCAGTCTGAGGTGCCATCGTCAATGTTCTTCATGATGACAGCTATGTGTCCGGAGTAGCATCCAGCCAGGACCAGAACCACTTTCCCGGGTTTCATGAACTTGCCCATTTCGACAGCAAGTAGCCGATTCCCAGCAGAAAGGAAGGAAGGACACCGCGTGGGTGTAATTTAAGATGTTTTGTTTTTATAGATATCTCTTTATTTTGACAGCTTTTTGATATTCATACTAGTGACCTATTGACAGAGATCCATACAGGCCATCACAGCACCATCCAATACTGTGACTTCTCCCCCTATGACCATTTGGCAGTGGTTGCCCTGTCCCAGTACTGTGTGGAGGTGAGTAGTTGAATTTATTCAATGGAATGTGGGTCTCTAGAGATCCAAGGATAGCAAAGAGCAGACTGCCTAAACCCTTAGCTGTTGAGGAGGCTTTCTTGTAAAATTGTGTTTTCTTTATAGCTTATCTTTGGAATATTCAATTATATAACTAGCTTTATTATTTTAATGTGATTGAAGACACTATTTTACAGTGATAGAATGACAGGACCATTTACTAAGCATTTATTGAATATCTAGTGTATGCTCGGGACTGAAGAAACAATAGAATGCTCATTGGTTTCCTAGGTTAAGATAGAGCATCTCTTTTAGTTTTACCGTGTGTGTGTGTGTGTGTGTGTGTGTGTGTGTGTGTGTGTGTGTGTGTGTGTATGCGCGTACCTGTTCAAGCACATACAGAGGCCTTAATCCCTATTCTCTTTATTTCTTTAAGAAAATCTCTTGTTGGCTGGTGGCTGGCCATGAAGCTTTGGGATTCACCTGTCATAACCCCTAAATGTTAGTTGAAAGGCTCACACAGCCATGTTTGGCTTTTTATGTGGGATTTGAACCTGGGTCCTCATACTTGCACAGAAAATGCTCTTACCCACTGAACCCGCTTCTTAGTCCCTCAATGTTTTAAAATCACCATATAGAATAACATGTATAAAATAATAGGATTTGTTAATTTTCATACATGCATATAATGTACTTTGATCACATGCAATTCTTAAATAGTATAGACATGTGGTGTCTTGTAAGCAGTATAGATACAGACTGTATTCTTGCATGTCTGTTTGGTATATGTGCATGTGGTATATATATGTGACAGGGTGCACATGCAGAGACCACAGAACGTCGTCTTCTGTCACCCAATTTCTTATTGCCCCGAGACAGTCTTTCACTGAACAAACACTCACTGTTTTGATGAGGCTGCCTGGTCAGGGAGCTCTCTAGACCTGCCTGCTTCTACCCCTTAGTGCTGGGGTCATACACATTTGCTTGGCTTTTTACATGGGTGCTAGGATTTCAAACTCAGGTTCTCATGCCTACAAGCAAGCATTCTTAACCACTAAGCTGTCTCCCCAACCCCAGATGCTATTCTTTTTAAAATAAATGTGTTAGTTCAGATTTTTAGATAATTTGAGTAGGGTAAGACAGAAGTCATATATCAGATTGGTTATGATAGCATTGTCATTGCCAAGCACAAATACAGTAATTTTTACAAATTACATGTTTATGTTTACAATTTTGTACTTCCTGGTGAATTTTATAGTCAGCCTTCTCTATCATTTCTAAGATCTTTACCTCTATCATTCTTAGAAAGCTCCAGGAAACAATGAATGTCTTAGGGCTGTGCCGTGGAAGCTCCAAGTGACAAATGAGGGAAAGCAAAGTTAAAGAAAGAAAGGAGAGGGAAGATTCTTGAGAGTTCAGTTGTGGGATTGCCTTAATATCTGTCCTTCATTACTCTATTTCCCAGTTTGGACAATAGAGGTAAGGCAGGCTTTTCATGTAATCATTTTGTAACTGGAACTCAGAAAGTGAAAACCATTGGGCATGTGATAAAGTACTTGTTTTGTCCATGCTAATTCTGAAATCATAAAGTAGCTCTGTAATTCAAAGTGTAATGAGGGGAACTCAGGCACATATGGTACTTCATTAGACTGGAATATATTTGAGGAAAGTACAGCAGAACCCAGGACAAAATGCAGCCAGGATGGTGGCAGACAATTTGTAATAAGCATGGATAAAAAGAGAAATGTGTACCTGCTACAATTAGTGTGCTCATTTATTGTAGGGTTTTGCAGCCAGTTCAAATGAAGGTTGGATGACCGTGTTAGAGAGAAATAATTCTTATATGGAAGCTGCTTATGTTCATCCTGTTATTTTTAGATTGATTAAAAAAAAAAGATAAAACATGTACAATTCCAGATTCAAACCTTTATAGTAAGTTATTTTCAGAGAAATCTCACTATCATTGTTATCCTTTCCCTTATTTTCCATCTCATAAAAAGGCAGCATCTTTTTTGCATATCTAAGAAGATTTCAGTATGCATATCTATGCATATCTATGTCCATCTATGTGTCCACACGTTTTTTTAAAATTTTTTAAAAGACAGGCTCTCATGTAGTCCAGGCTGGCCTCAAATTCACTACATAGCCAAGGATGACCCTGAACTTCTGATCTTTCTGCCATCATGTTGGGTATTGGGGACTGAACCCGAGGCTTTTGATACATGCCAACACTTTACCAATCAAACCACATCCCCAGTCTTCATAATTCTTCAAAAAAGGTTTTTATTTTAATTCTTTGAGAATTTCATACATCTAATTCTTAAATAAAAGAATATATATTCTTCACTTTTTTCTGTTAACAGTGTATCATAGTTTAATTATTGTGGTATTTTTCTCATTCCATTTTGCATAGTATTCCACTATGTGATTAATTATAATATATTCAATTAGTCTCTCTGCTGCTTTTTAAGGGGTTTTCCTTATGTACAATATATTTGTGATGTTTTGTGTGAGAGTGTGCGTGTGTGTGCGCGGGCACTTGTGCGAGCATGAGCGCGAGCGCGAGTTCATGTGCCTGTGTTGTGGAGTAAACCCAGGGCCTTGTGTTCACTAATGTGAGATGTATCAACTGACCTTTGGATGCTGCTTATGTTCATCCTGTTATTTAGATATATATATCTCCACATGACAGTTTTTATTTCTGTTATTTACTGTTAACAATATAATTGTATAATTAATCATCTTATGCATAAACCAGTTTTAAATTTTGATAATATGTTTTGGAACTTTATTTGTGGAAATAGTATTGCTGAATCATTCTTATTTACTTTTAATATTCTTGTTAGTTTTAGTATTCTTGGTATATTAAACGTCCTGTGTTCTTTGTTTATTCTGTAGTTGTGGAATATAGATTCACACTTAAAGGTAGCTGATTGCAGAGGACATTTAAGCTGGGTTCATGGTGTGATGTTTTCTCCTGATGGGTCATCATTTTTGACAGCTTCTGATGACCAAACAATACGGGTGAGAAATATTGAGATTTTAAACACTTACTTGTCTTTTGTTTTGTTTTTTTCCAGACAGGGTTTTCTGAGTAGTTGTAGCTGTTCTGAAATGCACTCTACAGACCAGGCTGGCCTTGAACACAGATCCACCTGTCTCTTTCTCCTGAGTGCTGGGATTAATGGTGTGTGACACCACTGCCTAGCTCATTTTAAACATTTAAGCATTTCCCAGTGCCCTACTTCTTTGCCTCTCCTTATGTGGCTTCTTATGCGTGGAAAACCTTACTTTGCTGGGTCTCTGCTTGCTGAAATCTTCGTCATCCTAAAGTCTGCCCAGCCTCTGTGTTTGGGGATTATCTGCTTCCTTTAAGGTTGTATAAGTCTGTTTCTCTTTGGATTGATGTCTATCAAATTCTGACTTAAAGTATAGATTTGATTTATTCTATATTTCTAGTGTCCCATTGTGCCCTGATTTATTTACATATTTCAGACTTACATCTAGCTGTTTGAGTCCAGGAATCCTAGTTGGTGTTGCTAACATCCAATACAGTGCTTTATACAAATCATAGCTGAAATTTATTTAATGCTATTGTGTGTCAGACATGTTGCAAAGTACCATATATGTACTGATTTACTAATTCTCCTACTAGGAAAAGAGCATGAAATGTTAGGTTCAGGAAAAGCCTACAGAGGCCTGTGTCATCTTCCTAGACTTGAGCTAGAATATAAATCAATTCAGTGTTTCCTTTTGTAAAAAGAAAGAAAACTGTAACAAAGCACAGACTGTTTAGCCATCTAAATGAATATCACATTCTGCTGTAAGCTCAGTGTCTTATTGTAGATGGGTGTCAGCCAGTCCTTACCTTCAAGTAGCACTGGGTTGACCCCCCTAATGTCACAGTTTTTTGTTAAAGTAGAACTCCCAGAGACATTTTGACTGCAGAGCCCATTATTCATATAATAGTAACTATTTCTTACTTTAGGATGTATAAATAAATATATGTTGTTTCATAGCCTAATGGGTGAAGTTTTTTTTATATCCTAGGCATTTTAGTTGTGAATCATAATTTGCTATCTTGCTGTAAGACTAAGACTTGTCTTTACAGTATCTCAGAGGAAGTACTGATAACATACAGTTGTTTTATTTCCTTTTCTTTTACTCAGGTCTGGGAGACCAAGAAGGTATGCAAGAACTCTGCTGTAGTGTTAAAGCAGGAAATAGATGTTGTGTTTCAAGAAAATGAAATGATGGTCCTTGCAGTTGACAACATCAGAGGCCTACAAGTGAGTGAGTGGATTTTAGAAAATATTGGGAGCATTGTTTTGATTGAGCTCATCCTTTTTTCCTATTAGTTTTTTGGGTACAGGATCAGGCATAATTGTATGGGTCTAACAGGCACCTGCTAGGATTAGTTGAATAAATACATGGCTCCTGAGTTGATGTTTGGATATGCCAGTACTTAGAATTAAATTAGATGCTAATTTTTAAAATGACCTCCTCTTATTTAAACCTTGTTTGCTGTCTGTGATCACTTCCCTTGATTTGCAGGGGGACTTGAGAATACCACAAAGAGAAACTTGAATTTGTTCAGCATAGTAATTTGGATGTGTCTGATAGGGTGAGCATGGGGTGAACTTACTAACTGCAGCAGTTTTTTTTTTTTTTTCTTCAGGGGAAGGAAAATAGGGTCTTTGAAAGAACAAAAATTGTCTTAAGTGGAGGAGTCTCAGTCATCAGAGCTGAGGTGGAGGGGGCTGGACTTGACATACTGAAGTGTTGCTGTCACTAATTCATTTATTCATACATCTGTGCAGCCGCTTTTGAATATTCACTAGTCCTGGAGAAGGAAGGGGTGGTGTTGATAATATTAGAATAACTGCATTGCTAGGGATTCAAACAGCTTACCTGAGGCTGATCTCTCTGTGGTCAAAAACAACAGTCCTAAAGGTCCAGTGACAGAGAAATGATATTTATGAGTCTCTGAGTGGTTGTGACAGAGCTAGCAGATGACCTAAGGAATGTTGTCATCCAGCAGGTCAGTACCACTGAGACCGAGCAGTTGGCACTGCCTTGATAGAGATCCCTGGGAGTGGGGGTGGCATTGCAGGTGTTGGCATCATCCTCTCAATATGTTTGTTGGGCAATGTTCTGTATTTATGGGATGAACGTGGATAGGAACTTGTGTTTTTTTTTTTTTTTTTTTTTTTTTTTTTTTTTTAAAAGGGGGGGGTTTCCAAAAAACCCAAGTGTTTTTTGACCCCCTTTTCTCACTCCCCCCACAAAAATGATTTTTTTTTTTTTAAATAGGATGAGGCTTTTGCTTGGGATATTCTTATTGTAGTTCTTTCCAAGTTCATTGTTTTCATGCTTATATTTTTTAAAATCATATCAATGCAGTCTTTCTAGCAGTTGTCATAACCAAAGGATGATGAGGTTGCCTGACTATAAAAATGTTATCTTACTATATGTTATAGTCTGCAAGAGTTTAGAGGACAGTTTAACTGACAAATAGTAGTTCCGTTAAAGTAAATGCCAAATTTTTAAATTATCAATTAAAAGTGTTGAACTTGATTTTTGCGGAGGAAGATACATAATTTTTAGTAGTTCAGTCTTTTAAGAAAGTACTGCTTGACAGTTTTATACGTCAAGCAGTGTATAGTGTGTGTATATGTGTATAGTGCATTTTGATGTATACCCCATTACCCTCTCTTATTTCCTTCCCACTCCCATTGAACCTCCCTTTTCCAGCAAGTTTCTCACCTGTGTGTGTGCCCTACTAAGTTAAGATTGCTTTCATGAACAGGATTGAGGGTTAGTTACTGGAGCATGGCAATCAGTCAGTGATGACACAGCTGAAGATGACTTCCTCTCTTCGTATGGAGGGGTAGTACCTTCCAAGCTCTCCACCCATTAATAATGGGTTTGGTAAAGGGCTTAATCTCATGTAGATATTATTATGTAGGTAACCATAGTTACTGTAATTTCATGCATGCAACGATCTTGTCGTATCTAGGAGACAGTGTTTCACAACACACTTTTCTATTACCTGGTTTTTATATTCGTCTGGTCTCCTGTGATGTCCTTTGAGCTTTAGAGGGGGTGTGATACAGATGTCTTATATAGGGCTAACACTGGATAGTTGCTTAATTCTCAGCACTGTTACTAGTTGTGGATCTCTGCATTAACTGCTTCCCATTGCAAAAAGACTCTTTGACCAAGGCTGAAAGCAGCATTAATTAGTCTATGGTCATAAAAATAGATATTTAGACTATCTAGAAAGCAGTTGGACAACACATCTGTTTAGCAGAGTAACAGTAGTAGGTTCCCTACTTAGGACCTGTGGCCTCCTTAGCTATGGACTTTTGGCCATCAGGTTCACAGTACCAGGCATAAATTCCCATTATGGGGCAAGCCCAAATCCAGTCAAAAAGAGGTCGGCAATCCTCATAGCAGCCATGCCATTGTTGCACAGTCTACTTCACAGGTCTGTATTGTATCACCAAGTGGCCACAGCTAGGTGAGAGCATTGATGACTTTTCTTCCCCAGCAGCCTGCAGTAATTTAGTCTTGATTTTATGTATCTAATAGGTCAGAGAATTTTGGGCAAACTACATATTATTAATTAACCGTATAGTCAGTATAGCTGAGACAGTTTTATTAGCATGTGCCATGCTGAGAAGTAATTCAGATTTTTGGATCATAACACTGTTAGAAAGGTATCTGATACTCAATTGAAGCTTGAGAAGTATTTCCTGAGGTCTTATCTTTTAATTGAGGTGCTAAGGCAAGCCACATTTTTTTTTTTAGACTTTCAAAAAAAATCCTTAGCATTAGGTAGAGGTTATAAAATTGAATAATCTTAGTTTAAATATTGCAAGTCCTGTGACACAAGTTGTACTTTCCAGTTTCTTCTGTAAGATCTATCTCCTTCTTCAGTAGGAAAGAATCTTAATTTACCCTGATTTGTGAGTGACTCGGAGTATATAAAATTCAATTTAGACTTATCATTGTGTAATGTCTGTCTCAGTCCTGTTTCACAGCCCCTTTGAAGATTTCAGAGAAGGGTATTATAACAAATGATAACCCTATTAAAAACAGGCTTTGTGAAGAAATAAAAGACAGGATGTGGTGCTGGCTGGGAGACAGCATATCAGACAGATGTGTCTCAGGTGGTGGGCACAGCAGCTGCTTTCCAAACACCTTTAAAGTTTGTTTTATTTTATGAAAATGTGTTTGAGCCACATAAGTGAAACAAAATGAAAGCATCAGATGCTAAATACAGCTCCTGAGTTTGGGATCAGTCTTTGTTGCTTCCCTGAGAACTCTATTTTCTATGCTTTTTTTCATTTTTCAATTGAAGTCTCTCTTCTGAAGAATAGCAACAGAAAAATGCACACGCAAGCTAATGACTGACTGTGCCATTTCTTTTATTAGCTTATTGCCGGGAAAACAGGCCAGATCGATTACCTGCCTGAAACTCAAGTTAGTTGTTGTTGCCTAAGTCCACATCTTGATTATGTTGCATTTGGAGATGAAGATGGAGCCATTAAGGTATTCAGTTCCAGTCTTCAGAGCTGTGACTACAGTTGTGTATTGAAAACTAATCATATGCCTGACATTGCACACCTGTATACCAAACAGATCTTTCTTATTCCTTATTCCATTGTCTGAACATCTTAACCTGGTTAGGGTTTCCTCACGTGATCTTTACCTTTGCTTCTCAAGCTTTCTGTGTTTCTTATCCTCTGTCCAGTTGTTTTGTTGTTTTATACATGTTTAAGAGACTAAACAGGTTTGACCAATTATACAAACAACATTTTCCCTTCTTAGAAATAGCCATGGGTTTATGTCATTTCCAGAATCTTGAGAATGTCAGTACAGGGCCCCCTGTGCCCACTGTCACATCTCCATTTCTACATTTGATGTTAGCTGCCTTCCTTTTCACCACCAGAAATCCTGAACTTACCCAGCAAGACCGAATACATAAAAAGAAGTAGCAGGTACTGACACAGAGAAGGTATTTTAATGAAAATCATTCTGTGTACAAACATTCTCACCTTTATCCCATGTACAGCTCATCACAAAGGCATTTGTTTTCTAGGTACATAACTTCCAGAGAATGCTGATTTTTCTCAGTGTTTCTCACCTGGGCTTTTGGGGATCCTTCCCTAATTTAATGAGACTGTGGCATTAGCCACATTTATTTTGCCATGGGTTGTTTTCCATAAGGGATTAGGCAAATGTTCTTCAGGTCAAATTATTCCACAAGAGGAGATCAAAGGCTTGAACACACAGTGAAGAGGAAGTGACATCAGACTGCTAGGTCTCCCCTAGCAGCTACATTGGTGTGCATTCGGTTAAAATTGTGAAGTCTTTGCTAACATGGGTAGTGCTTCTGGCAAGTGTCTGACAGTTGTTTGTTAAGCACAGGATTATTGTGTAGTTACAGGTTTCCTTAATTTTTTGTACTGCTGCGTAGAATTAATTTTGAATGGGTCTGTGGTTTCCTTTTTATTGTATTGCCAACTCAGCATCTTACTCTTCCTGTTATTACCATTGTAGTTCACAGAAACTGCACTTTATGCACTGGGCCATCTCACCAGCTCTATGACTACTCTCTAAATCTCTGTATTTGGCCTTTTTAAGGCTTGTTATCACTGCACTGTTCTGATCCCTGTCTCCCTTGTCATCCTTTCTCTCTCCTCATTTCTAGTTTCTAACAAAGAGCTTGTCTTGTGTCATATGGGATTTTTATCCTTTCTTCTTTCTCATTCATCATAAGTTGCCATTTTTATTTGGGCGGCTGAGCCCAGACTGTCACTTGGTTGATGACTCAGGTAGTTGAGCACTCAGAAGAACCATTGGTTCCTACTGCCATTTGGCCATTCTAGTGCATACCTGATTGGGGATGGAGGTGGGGGCGCAGGTGTGCTTGGCATATACATGTATACATTGTGGGGATATAATGCGTAGTATTGCTTAATTTCTTTGTATTGATTTTTTGTGGTTTTCTGTTTTGAAGATTATAGAACTCCCAAACAACAGAGTTTTCAGTTCTAGGATTGGACACAAGACAGCTGTACGGCACATGCAGTTCACAGCTGATGGGGAGACACTTATTTCCAGTTCTGAAGATTCCATAATTCAGGTGAGGTGCTAACATTTGTAGTGTTAGAGAGAGGAACGAAAGACAACACTGTGTGCCGAGGCTCGGTCCCTTAAACAGACTAGATTGGGTGTATATTCCCACTGTACACATGGGGTTTATAGAGTCCATTCATGTTTCATGTTTTTTGTGAATGTAGCATGGTGGCAGTTCACTGAGAAGCTTGTTTATTTTGAGTTAAGTATTCATTTGACTTCTTCCTATCTTGATATTCATATTTATGTATGTAAATAGGTTTTTACCACTTTTATGTAATTTCTTAATTTTCTTGACTGAATTCTGACTTAAATTTTTTGTGTTTTTGTTTGTTCATTTTTCTTTTCCTGAGACAGGGCCTTGCTCTGTAGTCCAAATGGCCTGGAACTTGCTTTGTGCAGGTCAGGCTGTCTTTGAACTTTTGGCAATCATCCTGCCTCTGCCATGTGGGTGCTGGGAATGCAGACATGTTCTACCATGCCCAGCTCCAAGATCTTTTTTTTTTTTATTAATTCAAGTTAGGGAACAAGCTTGTTTCACATGTAAGTCCCTTCCCCCCTCCCTCCCCTCACCCCCATCACTCCTCCCCCAACCCCAACCTACCCCTCACCCCACCCAACCTCTACTCCCCAAGAAAGGTAGTGCATTCAACGGGCGCTCTGCAATGTCCACCAAATCTTACTGGGCTGGGCCTGGGGGCCG